TTGCACACATAAAAAGGCCTTACTGCATACAAGGAACATCATCATCGTATTGTGAAAATGATTCTTTTTTTTTTTTTAAGTCAATCACGGAGCCATTTTGTGCTCAGTTTCTATTGCCTTCAGGATTGTTAGAAATTCTTATTATTATTCAACCGTTCTTAAACTCTTTCAAATCTCTCGACGACCCGAGTTCCCCACCTCAGCTTTTGTACTTTTGGTATCGAAAATTTCATTTAACACCATAACAAAACATTGTGAACCACAAATCGTCTTTCTGACGGAGATGGTGATTCATCCATGTGTCAAACTGCTGCACTATAGCGCCATCTACTGCCCAGGAGGGAAAAGGCTATGTTCAGACTGCGACCCATATTGGATTGTTTTTTTTTTTTTTTGCCCATATATGGCATGAATCAGATTTTTTTAAATTTTTATGACAGTCTAATGCATAGGTGTCAAAGTCAAGGCGCGGGGGCCAAATCCGGCCTGTCACATTATTTATGTGACCCTTGGGAGCAAATCATGTGTGTAAACTTTCATGATCCTTGCTGAAATCTGTATTGAAATTTCAAATTGTGATGGGGAATAAATAACGTTGAGATTTTACATCGGCCCTTCCGAGGGAAGCCATAACTCCGAAGTGGCCCGCGACAAAAAAATGAGTTTGACACCCCCGGTCTAATGCCTCAATTCAGAATTTTTCTTTTTTTAATTCGACCTGGGTCACTTCCATATGTGATCCTAAATTGGATACATATCCGTTTCTTTGCAATGTGACCTCAGTCTGAATAAACAGATCGCCGATATCCGACTTTGCCCAAATTGAAAAGCAACAGACGTCACCACCATCCAGTCATGGCTGACGACGGAGGAGAAAATAAGCAAAAAAAAATTTAAAAATCCAAATTCAGCAATAATACCTGCAATCTGAACATAGCCTTCGTTGATGTGAGATTTCCTTTGCTTTAAGTATCGGAGTCTGGTATCGGCAGCCTGCATACGTTAAAAAAAAAAATTAAAAAATTAGGCCAGTATTGGCCCGATACCAAAACCTGTTATTGGTATTTGCCCATCCCTAGATAAAAGTGCAAGAGATGTTTGGACTTGGGCCACTCTTGCACGACGTTTTTTTTTCTCTCTAATTCCAATTTGTTTCTCCAGTTTTAGGCAACCTTGACAACAGAGCTGAAGATGAAGACAAGACAAAAGTGCAAGTGATACCATCCATTGTATGTATTCAATGTGGTCCAAGTCCAAAAGTCATTTGTATTTGTCAAAATCTGAGGAAAGCCACAACTTCCGTAAAAGCAATCATCATTAGCAAGTCATCATTGGCATCAAAAATCACCAAGATGTGCGGTAAAGTCCTCAGATTTTCCTTGCAGATCGAAAACTGCCTCCTGCAAAACCACCGAAAAGGGAGTCAGCCCACTGCAGCTGTAAGAGGCTCATTTTGGCGAAAGAAAAGTCAATTTTAGCGTGGGCTTCATTTGACTGAGTGCTGTTGACTGTGAGAGGGGCAAAGAGGAGGTACAAGGCTAAAATTGGTGTAAGAAATGAAGCACCAAACGATTTGTTCTTCCATTCGGTCAAAAAAAATGACAATTGTGCAATCTGTTCAACGAACGTCATGGCAAATATTGTGTCAGTCCAACCCTTAGGTCATACTTAATGTGGAAAGCTGACCTTGTCTGTCCCCCGCCCAACATGTAATCGCCAGGGTTGCAACATCCTGCTTGGACACTTTGCATGGAATAAATCAACACTTGTAATCAAATATATCGCATATTGTACTGTGCATTTACTGTATACAGTACTATGTTTTCCTTTACAGATATTTTTCAATATGGAATACATTTGGACCTATCCCTCTATTCTGTATTGAAATATGTCTGTAACTGAAAATACAATAGCGTGCACAATGTCCTTTTGGGGCTTCTATTGATGGAGTCACATTATTGCTCCAGGCCATCAGCAAATAAAGGACTCAAAAAAATAAAATAAAATAAAATATCCGGGTCCCAAAATATATACAAGGTTTTTTTTCATATGATTGTTCGGTGTTATTTCAATCATAATTTTTTTTTAATTAAATTTCTTCTGCCATTATAACTCGTCCGTTTTTTAAAAAAATGAATTTAATTTACATTTTTTGTTTTGGTTTTATTAATTTTTTATGAGAATTTTCCCCCTAGTATGATTTATGATGATAAAGTGTAAATATATGTCCGATTAATAAGTAAGTTAATTATATTATGTTCTGCTTTGATCATTGGATTCAATGAAAGGATACAGATATGAATAATTACGGAGATTTTACATAGTTAATTAAAATAAATAATCTCGTTCTAATTTTAAAAAAATACAATAATGTCATAATTTTCAAGTATATCCATATCGGTGCTAAAATACGGGCTCTCAAAGCTTGTGATATTTCAAAATAAAATATCCAATATCAATTCGGATTTTTTCTTTTTTTTTTTGGTAGCTCTAATTAAATTTGGCCTTTTTACCATTTTTAAATTGTTTTTTACAGGGTTTAAAAAATGATGAAAAAAGTTTTGTTTTTTTTTTTTTTTTAAATGTGGAACTGTTCCAAACATAAAACAAATTCTGTAATTCAGCGCATTTTATCTCAAGTTTGAGTTCCCATGAAAAGTGTCCAAGTTGTCAAAGCCACTAAGAAGTCCTGTGTGTGTGTGTGTGTGTGTGTGTGTGTGTGTGTGTGTGTGTGTGTGTGTGTGTGTGTTTGTGTGTTTGTGTGAGAGAGAGTCTGTCCACCATTATGATACAATCTCTACACTATCGAAAGAAAAAAAAAACAAACTTGTAAGATCCGTCAAGTGAGTACATAGACGGGTGTTGGTGGGCATGTTCTTGCTATATGCTCAAGTACAAATATTCATACCAAAAAACAGCACAATTCTCACCATTGGTCATGTACAACAAGTTTGATGAGCAAATGGAAAAATTATTTAAATAAATACATTTACAAAAAAAAAAAAAAGGCACGACAACTGAAAGAAAGGCATATGTGAATCTATCATAGCTCGTTATTTTTTTTTTTGGGGTGGGTGGGGGGAGGGTGGTTGCAACCTAAAATGCTGATGACCAATTTATTTACAAACAGAGCCATGCGTCACGTGTCCCTAATAAAGTGCATGCAATGAGAAAAGCCTGACGCCGCGACGCTTACGTTCACATTCCAGAAAAAACAACAACTAGGCAAAAAGAAATCAATAAATAAATCAAGAAGAAAGTAGCTTGAGACAAAGAAGGACCAGAAGAAGAAGAAGGACAAGACGGCGTACAAAAGAAAGAACCAGAGGAACAAATACCAGAAGAAGAATCGGAAGAAGAAAGACACAATGACATCCAAGATGAAGAACAACCAGAAGAAGACTCGAAGAACCAATAGAAGAAAGACAAGAACTGGAACCAGAAGAATGAAGATGAGGAAGAAGGAACTGAAGAAGGACCAGAAGTCGAAGAAACACGTGAAGAACAAGAAAGACAAGAGCTGTTTCTCAATTGGTGTCCTTGTGATTTTGGAAAAAAAACGTCAATGAGTCCTGTTCCGATTGAAAAGTTGCATAAACCAAGAACATAAAAAAGACCCGGATTTTGTTCTCGTCTGCTTGCAAATCAACCATAACATTTTCTTCACAAGAATATGTTCTATGTACTTTTAGTAGTCTAATCGCGGCATTCTGATTAATATTGCATTTGTGGAATATGAGTTTGCGCAGCAAAATCCACCCGCTTTTAGCCATCTCTGGGGGTGGCCATTTTGAAAATTTCTGTCGCTTTTAGCCACCTCCGGGGGTGGCCATTTTGAAAATTTCTGTCGATGAAAAATGACATCACAATTGCTTAGAACTGTGATGTCAATTTTCAGTCAACTGACAAAATGGCCGCCCGCTGAGATGGACACAAACGGGTGGATTTTACTCAGAATGCCGTGTTTAGTCTCGTGGGGCTGCATAGAACATATTCTTGGAAAGAACATTTTGTGGTCGACTTCCCCTTTCAACCAAGGATGGTTCGGTTGGTGACTTGTGAAAACTTGGCAAGGAAATATCCCAAGATGTATTTTGTGCTGATATTAAAATGGCTGAACTGACAGCAGAAGAGAACCATCACATTTGGATTTTGTTCCCCCGTTTTTATCATTTTACGGAAATACGTCAGAGCCAGGGGGGGGGGCGTGGATTTTTGAGAGGGTATTCGCCGAGTTCACGAAACCGTACTCTGCATTCATGATATTGATTAACGACTGTACAACGAAAAGAACCAGAAAGTGAAGAAGGACAAGACAAACGAAAAGAAGGATGAGAAGAAGAAAAAGAACCAGGGGCGGAAAAAGAAGAGCCAGAAGAAGAAGACTAAGGAGAGAGGGGGTCCCAAGCTCACATTCCACAATGTCTTGGACATCAGGGGTGGGCAAACATTTTGTGCTCGAGGGCCGCGTTGGGATTTTGGAACATCAACGACTCAATCAGAGATGAGGTCAAAAATCAAATGTGGATGTCAAATTGACCTCATTGCTAACTTTCGCCTTGCGCCCAAACAAATAATTGTAACGTGTCGTGAGAAAAACAGCACTCCGTTATATTGCACTTTATATTGACTTAATTCAATAGAGTGTCAAGAATTAAAATCCATAATTTGGCCTTATCCACTCAGATATTTTTTTGCAATTTTTGCAAATTTTGACATGTACTTGGAAATATTTTATGGGAACCCGCTTAATTAGATCAATTCAATTCTTGCTGAATGGATTTATTGATTTGTTGACATTTATGTGATAATTATGTACGGTATTTATTTAACTAAATAATTGGCTAAGTTTTTTTTCCAAAATTATATTACTGCTGTCATAATTTATGGCTTTAGAATGGGGCCCCACCCCCGTTATTCGCGTTCCTGAAAAGTAAAAAATCGGCCCCAAAAAAATGTAAAAATATATATAATTTGTTGATTTGACTAACGGTGTAAAATAATCACTTTTTGGCAAAAAAAAAGAAAAGAATGATTAAATGAGGAAGAAAAATGAATACAAAATGTATGGTAATGAATCAATGTATGCTAATTACCCAAATTGGCTAAATTAATGCACCAAATATTCCAGCACTCTTGCTCTACGGGTCGGATAAAAGAACAGATTGAGCTCAGATGACCCCCCTGGCCATACTTTGCCCACCCCTGCTCTACACACACACACACACACACACACACACACACACACACACACACACACACACACACTTACAATGGAGTTCTACTGAAACATGGCAAAGTGCCCATTTTAGCAAAAAATTTCCTGAATTATTCACTTCATACCAAAAATCGAGACGAGGAGGAGTAATAATCCCAACACGGCGACTGACAGGATCCGCACAGATTCTGGCATTTTGTCGCTTTGAAATGAGTTGTCCGCCGTTGCCGGAAATGTCCATCGAAGAAAAGGAAAGAAAATGTGGCCGCCGGTCCACTTTCATCTGTTGTCGTCCTTGAGGAACAAGTCCAGAGATCCCAGACTGCCAAAGCCCAGGATGCGAGTCTCGCTGTCGAAAGACAAAATCTCTCTCTCCTGACGCTCCAGCAGAGTTTTGATCCTTTCGCTGCGATCCTTCTGCAGAGCCGAAAGCTCCTCCTCCATCTGCACGCACATGCACACACACATTTATACTTCATACAGAGCTCGTCGAAGTGCTGACCAACCAATCAGAGGACAGAAAAATGTTGATGTCACCCTTGTGAAGTCGAATTGGAAATACGATTCGCTAAAGCAGCAGTCCCATTGAGAATTGAGTTGAAGTAACGTCGGCCTGAGCGACTGATTGTGAAGGCGCTGGGCAGATTATATTGACACAGCAACAAATAGAGGCTGAAATCTGATTGGACAGAAAAAAAATTGAGCATCCATAGACGCGTGCTGGACGTGATGCAGTTAAGAGAAACGAAGAAAATAGATTTACATTTCATGGACAGGATTTTTAGAAAATCAATAATAACTTTTTTAAAAAATTATTTATTAATTCCGTTTTCCGGGCATAATTACTTGCCCTATAGAATCTGCCTAGGAACACCTGACAGCGCAAACGTGACTTGAAGCTTAAACTTTTTTGAAGGCATGTTTAATTTAACAGTGGAAGAAAAAAAAATCTATGTAAAAATAATAACTAATTACTTTGTTAAATTAAACAATGAATCATGAGGACTATTTGTTTCCTGTCTGACTTTCTGTACCTGCCGCCTCTCTCTGTCCTTTACCCGCTATGCAGGTCCTCTGGTTTGTTGCAAATCTTTTGTCTTCTAAATGCATAACTCAACTGGCTTGACCTCATGCTATTGTTTGCAGCATGTCAAATCATGCCCCTCCCTATGTCCCCTCTCTTATATAACCTGCCTAGCAACAGGTGACGAGTACCTACCTTCTGTTCCAGGTGGGCCCTGCGTATGGAGATCTTCTGCTCGAGCTTCTGCAGCTCTCGCTCATGTTGGGTCTCCATCTGGGACTTGGTCTTCCTCTGGTAGGCGTCCAGCAGCTCCATTTCCTGCTTCAGCTGCTGCTTCAGGGCCTCGCACTCCGCCTCTTGCTCCGCCTCCAACCGCATCTGGTGTAGACGCGGCAGTGCATGCAAAGTTATTGGCCTCCTCCCAGTAAATCGTGGTGACAGCGAGTTTCTCCCATGACATCGTTCAATCAAATATGAGAATTCAACCGTTTTTTTCTGCCACATTTTAGCTTCAATTCAAGGAAAATTGTGCTGCGCCTTCCGATGTGCGTGCCTTGGCCACCTGGGGGCAGTACAATACACACATGGCTATAAAGGAAGACGCTGTAATATTTGTCGTTCTTTGCAGAAGATAAAGAATACATACCCCGTGAGTATTGTTATATTTTTCTACGTGTTGCACCTCTTTGCGTTTTCATGTTTGCCGTTTAAAAGTTTATAACACTGCTAGATTGATGCTAGTTTAATTAGCCTATCAGTGGTGTTTTTCATAGTGGTTTAGCATCAAGCTAAGCAAACATTGCCTGATGATGATTATGATTTTGGTCATAATCGTGCAGCCCTACTAACAATTCAGAGAAAAAAATGACCGATGCAAAAAAAGTGGAGTTTGTTGGGCGTAGTACCGCTTGCGAGGCCATCATCTGGTTGATGGAGTGCTCGTACTGCTCGGCCAGCACGGCCAGCTTGCGGGTCTGCTCCTCCTTCAGCCCCTTCAGGAGACTCTTGTGCTCCCCTTTGGGCGAAACCTCCAGCTGGTGGTTGCGCAGGGCTTTGTACTGCTTGTTCTGAACCTTGCACGTGTCCTGGAACTGCTTCTTGATCTGCAGCTCCAGCGTCTAAGGACGGACCAAGTCATTTGCCACATTTTTCATGTCTGTCATTATTCCATATTTCACTTGAAATGAATGGAGTCAATTTTCAAATTGCAAACAGTCTTTTATGTTGGGTTCGTGTGTGTGTGTGTCAAGCTGTGACGGTGTACCAGGCTCACCTTGAGGTCTCTTGGCTGCTGCCTGTGCTCCAGGGTGTGTTTGCGCAAGAGCTCGCGCTGCCTGCGATTGTTGTACTCCTCCTGGTTTTCCAGCTCGGTCTGGTGCTGCAGCCGCATGAGTTCCACACGCAGCTTGTGGAGCACTTGAAGCTGCCGCTGCTCCAGGTCCTGCGTGGCCTCGTCCTGGCGGATCATCAGGGCGTGCTCCATCTCTTTCTGGCTCCTCTTCTTGTTCAGCTCCTAGGGACAGTTGGCCAGAGAGACGTCACGTCGGCGGCAAGGCGAGAGAAGCGGGATACACCCAGGTGAGGTCGCTGGACAATCGCAAGGGCATGTTGTACATTAAAAACAAACCAAAAAAAGTCAAATCTTCGCCGCCCCCAACGCGTTTGCGAATAGGAAGATGCGCACACACACCTCTCTGAGTTGCTCCTGTTCGAAGTCGTGCTTCCTGAGCAGACTTCGGCGTTTGAGAGCCCGGCAGCTTCGCTCGTAGACGAGCCGCTGCTGCGCCAGCAGGTTGGCTTCGTCGTCCGCCTGCGAGCGCTGAATGGTCTCCTTGTGCCGCGACAAACGCTCTTGTTTTTCCTCTTTCGGGGTGCACGGGTCCTCGCTCATCTCCTGGAAAACACGCGCACAAAAAATACAAAAAGAAAATCCATCGGTGATTTGTAGGCGCCCTCTAGTGGTATGAGAGAGTAGAGATGATCACACTTTTTTTTTTCCTCCAACTGATTTAATGGAAGGAAAATGAGTTTCAATGCTCAGCTATTTTTTTTAAAACTTGATGTGTTTTACGGAATCTAAACATTTTTGTGACAATATCGGTTGATTTTGATACGAATTTCTCCACTGAGGAAAAAAAATCATTTTCTAACACGGTATGTTACCACTTTGCTGAATGGTAGACAATGATAAAAATAAGTTGCTGTAAATAAAATAGAAAAAAGGAAATACAAATATAAAAACATAGTAACCAAATGAAAAAATGAAGATCCATGTCATTTCGGACTGTTTTATAATTTGAAGAAAACTTTTTTTTGGAAAAAGGCAGTAACATAAGAAAACGTACTTTGGGTGTGTCGGATTTGGTTTTGTGTGTTTGGTGTCTTTTTACTTCTTTGATTTTGTCCTTGCAGAGTCGGTACTCTCTCTTCTGGCTCTCCAAGAAGGACGTCAGCTCCTTCTTCTGTTGAGCCGCGATCTGCTGCTGGATGCGCCGCTCCTCTGTGGCCACCGACTTCATCTGTGAGGAGGCGTCATCGGCATGATCATCATAATTGTCAGTATCCGTGTCGTCATCATCATTACAATCAAAATCATTGGCGTCCTTGCCATTGTCATCGCCCCCATCATTTTCCGCTTCGTAACGACCATCGTCACTATTGTCATCAAAACAATCATCAGCGTCGCCGGCATCTTTGTTATCGTCATCATCGTGATTATTGTCGTCATCTGCGTGATCACAATCGACATCATCAGGATTGTCGTCATGATCGCCATCACAATTGCCTTCATCAACACAATCCTTATAATCGTCATAATCATCATCTTCATTGTCATTGTCATCATAACTATCGTCATTGTTGTCATCATTTCAATCACTGTCTTCCCAATCTTCATTATCACAGTCATCATCGTCATTCTGTCAAGCATCATCATCGTCATTGTTGTTTTTCCTGTTATTATCACGATCATCATCATAATTATTGTCATCATCATGATCATTGTCATCCTCACAATCATCTTCATGGTCATTCTTATCATCATGATCATCACAGTCATCAACATCCACATTTTTATAATCATCAGATCATGGTGTTTTTCCCAGCCACAATTCACAATTTCAAGCCAATATTTTCACGGGTTCATACAGGATGCGGGCAACTCTCAGTTTGGCAAGAAGATAAGGCAGAGAAGGTCCCCAACATGTCCCCATCATGTGCGCTTGTCTCTTTACTAGCAACAAATCTAATGCCACTATTATTCAATACAAATTGCCAACAGCCAAAAGACGCACATGCGCACTAGCATGCTTTTCGTAAACCGTTCCCCCAGCAACTCCGCGTACCTCTTTGTCAGTCTGAGCAGCGTGGCGCTTGGCCAGCCGCTCCAGCTCGGCGTAAGTGTTGTTGGCCTGCGTCTCCAGCTCCTTGTGCAGCCTCAGCCTGTGCTCGTCCATCTCGGCCTTGAGCCTGTTCTCCAGGGCGATCAGCTGCTTCTGGTGCTGCCGCCGCATGCGCTTGTAGCCAGACATCTGCTCCCGCAGCTCAAAGTTCTGCTCATGCTCCTGGATCTCCCTGATGACCTGCAAAACACGCAGCGACATTGGTAAAGTGTACAACCTGGGCAACTGAAATTAAAAACAAAAAGGATGTAGAGGACAAACAACCGACTGAGATCAGATGGTTGCGCAAGTGCGCACACCCGCTTATGAACGACGATGTGTGTTGATCAGAATCGAGCAATCAAATTTCGACTCATTCTGAGAGACGGTCAACACACCGTTTGCAGTGATTAAGTTCAGAAGTTCTAACAAGCTTTTCCTGACATTTTTGCAGTCCCATTTCTGTGTTAGCTTAAAAACCATCAGCAAAAAAATAAATAAATAAAATAAAAATGCTGGGAAAAGCCTACTAAAACATGAACTTTCATCACTTGAACTGGGGAATGATGTGTGCTGATTCCCAATTAAGTTAGAGGGTGTGCACACTTTTGCAAACACATCTCTTATATATATATATATTTTTTTTTATATATATATATATATATATATATATATATATTAGTTCTTACTTCCCCTTATAATCTTTTTATTCAGTTGTGTGGATCAAGTTAGAGGGTTTTTTTCTGTCATTTTTTTTAAATCACAAAAGCATATGAACAGCATGAGTAGATTTTTTTTAAGGTGATGAAGAGGGAAGAGCAGGAGGAGGAAAATGACATCCATTAACAGGATGTGGTTGCCATGACTACGGATGGATGTAGTCATAGCATAGCGCGAGTGTGCGCCCCCTCCTCCCCCCCCCTATTTCACACACGCGCATTACCCTTTTTTTTTCTTCTTGTTCTTACACTTCATGCAATCGACGGACGACAGTGACAAGTACCAAAGATGCTGATGTGACGGTGACGGTGTTGCGTTCGCGGGTCCCGCAGCGGCGTCGCCGCCGCCGGTTTTGGTGAAAAGGAGGCCGCAGCTGTGGCCCGCTGGAGTCCCTGTAGGCGGCCTCATCCCTTCTTCACGCCGGCAGCATGCTCCTTCAACGCGGAGGAGTGACGAGAAGCAGAGAAAGAGCCGCGCTTCTGCTGGTGCTGGAGGCGCCCACCGGCTGCTTGCCGATCCGCGCAGCAGGCCCGCTCTTGTTGTGTCCGACGTCCGCGAATGCAGCACACGTCCGCCGCCGGCCTCACGCGCATCCTGCAGCTCCGCTCAATGCGGGCTGCGAGTCCCTTTTGGCCGGGAAAAGGGCATCCTCCAGCCAATCAGTGCAAAACCAAGCACCTCCGTACGGGGTGATTCTCCTCAAGCGGTGAGTAGGTGGGGTGAG